TATATAGACGAGCTTGGGCTGTAATTTTTTAACAAAGCCCAGCCCGGCCTGACCCACTAATTAATTTATTTTGAGCCCAGCCCGACCCAGCACAAACCCATTAGTTTTGGGCCGGTGTAAACCCAAAAACAACTCCTATATCTAGGTTTTTCCCAGCAGCCGTAAGAAACAAGGGAAGCCGACATAGAGCTTCAGAGTAGAAGCTGCTGATCGGGAGAGCTCTATAGCAATGTCGGGGAAGCCGAGGGCCACCAGGAAAGATGAAGTTGTGACCAGAGAGTACACCATCAATCTCCACAAACGTTTGCATGGATGGTACTCTCTTTACACTCGATTGGGGTTTTGAATATCTCTCCGCATCTGTTGCATAAACTAAATTACTAGACTTTGATTCGTATCCTTTAATTAGGATTATCCACCATTAGTCTGATATTAGTGGGGTTCTTTTTCTTTTCATTTTTCATAGTTACGTGTAGCTTGAAACTTGTGTATTGTGTGAATTTGGCTGGCGATCCTTTTCTGTCTCTAATCACCGATTTCCTTAAGAGTGGAGTATCAATTTATAATTTTGACTAAAATGCGGTTCTTAAACATTGATGCGGATATTGGTAGTCTCCTTCTAGTGTTAAGAAACTCAAGTGAAATGCTATTTGCTTATTATTGATATAGAATGCAATGTAGCAGTTTGTCCCTGCACTATGCCTCACATTTTTCAGTATCATTATGCTTTGTCATACCTAAGTCTTCCCTATTCCGTAAGTTATGCTTTGTTGTGTTTTCAGTTTCTTAGAATTGCAAACCCAATTTCCTCCAGATTACATTTGTGTTCATTACAGTCTTAAACATTGTTTGGCAAACTTGGTTTGCTTTTTTATGTGAACTCGGGATATATAGCTTTTGACTAATTTGGATGGAATTGATTTAATAAAATCCGCTGTCCCTTCTGTATTGTAAGGTCATTCAACCATTCCAACTAAGTAACTTGTTTCAAACGGGCCCACAGTGTAGACAAACATAGCATTCCTCCCTCATTTCTTACTATGTGTCAGATGTGAGTGTTGCAGTTCATCTCATCTCAATTACATGTGATATTCTTTGCAGCACCTTCAAGAAGAAGGCACCCAAGGCAATAAAGGAGATAAGGAAGTTTGCTCAAAAAGCAATGGGAACAACAGATGTTAGGGTTGATGTGAAACTAAACAAACAGATTTGGAGCAAAGGGATCCGAAGTGTGCCGAGAAGGGTCCGTGTCCGGATTGCAAGGAAGAGGAACGATGATGAAGATGCCAAGGAAGAACTTTACTCACTGGTTACCGTTGCTGAGGCTCCAGAGGGACTCAAGGGCTTAGGTACTACTATTATTGAGGATGATGAAGACTAAACCTATCTCTTCAAGAAAATTATATGCTAAGCAATTCCAGTTTTGGCTGTTGTCCTTTCTTGACTAGTTATTCTAAATTTTGCATTTTGATTTTTAGACTTATTAAATCTTCCTTTGTATTAAAGACCAAATTTGGGCTCTTTACAAGTTTATTATTATTATGCCAACTTAAACTGATATTTTTGTTCGTAACGTTTTCACTTGGAGCTTAACACAAAACACTGAGGACATGTTTACTTAGCTGCTAATAATGCCGTTGAGTTAGTAAAACATAGTAAAACATGTGATGTAAACATTTTCCGCTGCTTAAACATATCCTAAATAAGCATTGTACTTCCTGAAAGTGCTGCTTATTAAAAACACCCCCGATCCGTGTTTTACTTAGCTGGTGATTTAAGCGTTTTTCATACGACAAGTGTACCCTTTTATTACCTAATACAGAGAAAAAAAATTAAGTACCTTCCTTATCCTGTATATCTCTAACTCATCTCTCGATGCTTTTAATACCAAAAGACGACATCCTCTCCTTAGAATGGTTGTATAATGTATGTATCAACTGGTATCCCAGGTATGAATTTCTTATGATCTACGAAGTGTTATGGTCTTAGTTATTATTCAATTTAGGAGGAAATGTAAGTATACCGGAAGAAGTTTATAGTGTTAAAAAATCTACCTTAAAGATTAAAAACGTTTTTAGTGTTAAAAAATCTACCTTAAAGATTAAAAACTGTTTTGGTTCGACATGATCCCAATTTCCTACCTAATTCCTCATTCTTTGTGGGTGGAATAACAACTTGCGGGATTGAAATCTCTCAACTCTTGAGCATTTGAAATTCTTAGACCCTCTCCAGGAGTTTTATAATTTTATATGTTGTGAAGCTGATTGTGTTTGTGAATTTCTTCTTTGTTTTATTTGATAGAGTTCTTTTTTCATGGATGAAATAGTCCACAATGAAAACTCAAAACTTATGTTTAGTGAGCATTATGAGCTTTTCCATTAACTTATTAATTTACCTTTGCTTCATCGCTGAGGCCTGAGGTAATTGAACTTTTCCATCTACACATTTAGTTCCTACATACTCCGTATATGTTTGAATCGGAATAATTTTCCGACTAATATCGCTGTAATATATACAGAAGCAACCATAGAGTTGCACAAGAATTGTTCCTTTTCTTTTATTTGATTTAGGATACACCTCATGGGCTCTCATGGTTTAGGCGGTTTAGCAGCTCCTTGCCTTTTATAGTCAATAAAATGTGAAAAATCAGAAAAAGTCAAACATTTTAATCAAAAAGGGTGATGAATTTATATATACAAGTTCCAAAAGCATAAATTTAATTCTGAAAGTAATTTTCTCAGCAAGTTAATATCTGGTTAGTGGAAGTTTTTTTTTACATAGAATTTTATGCTTCCGGGTACATTAGCCAAACATTCAAAGAACATTGAAGTGACTGAAAATCCAAACACTGATATGACCTCACATTTTCACCTCATAAAAACTACATATACTCCTATCTTCTTACTCTAGTGCGGATGTCGAGATTAGAAAAAGGTACCATAAAGAAATGGTAACCGAAGATCACATGCTTTTTTTAATAACTTAATAATTAAAGTATTATTTCGATAGACTTACTGATGTAAAAGTATTTTTAGGACTGAAACTTGAATGTTAACTATTCCCATCCCAAAATTATCTGTTACTATTCACATGATCAACTCAAATTACTCTTAATCTTTTATTTTATATATCAAATTTTTATCAAATTTAAATTTTCTTGATCAAGTTTTGTAGCGGTTTTTATGTAGTTTCTGAATATGTAAATTTTATGTACTAGAAATAATTCGAGTGAGAACATAGATTAAATTGCTTTATCATCAGTCAAGATAGTAAACCGAACTATGAAGATAAATATGGGACGTAGGGAGTATTATTTTAAATTTCCAGTAAAGTATCATCTACCCTCCCAAAATAGAACTCTTATTTTCCCGGGATCATCTAGATTAAAAAAAATGCATTTCGTTTTAGTTTTGTTGGCTATAGTGGAAACACATTATTTGTAGATTCATTATAATCTCTTTCAGGTTAAATCTAAAGCTGTTCTTATACAATAACAATAACAGCATCCAAGCCCAAAAGAATTCGGGGTCGGCTAACATAAATCGATCTATAATATCAATACCAAACAGAGAAGACGAACAAGAAGGGAAGAAAAGTATGATAGAACGGATAAAATAAAGATAAATAAATCTAACAATAACATAAAGATATTAGAAATATAAAAGATAGAAAGATAAAAGAGCATAAAAGAATTAGAAGATAAAAATAACATTAGAATATAAAAAGATACGTAGTAAAAGATAAAAGAGAAGAGAGAAGAAAGGTAGAGAAGACATCAATCCTCCACATGTACGCGCACCCTCTACTTTGCTCTCTCCAAAGTCATAGTTTCATTCAACCCAAGAAGACGCATATCAGTTCTGATTCCTCTAATCCAAGTTTGTTTGGGTCTTCTCTCCCCTCTTTTCTCTGCCTCTTCTCCCCACCCTCAAGTCGTCTAACAGGTGCATCGCCTGATCTTTTACACACATGTCCACACCATCGCAAACGAGACTCTTGCATCTTATAAAGTTGTTCTTATACGAGAAGAAAAAGTTTATGGTATTATGATGGATTTTGAACTATCTACTCTTCGGAACGTGCTACTACAACTGGGATGGAGTGTGAAGACTAGGGGTGGACCGGTTCCGGTTCGGTCCCGGCCGGTTCGCGGTTCTGTTTTGTTGGGCCCGAGCCCGAACCGGTAGCCTCCGGGTCCAGTTCCGGGCCAGGCCGGGCCACCCGGTTTGTAATTTTTTTTTGGCTTCTCCTATTTAACCCCCAACCCACCCCCCCTCACCCCCAAACCACCTCAAATGGCCCAAAATATCCAGCCCAACCCAAAAACTAAAAAAAAAATCAGGAAAAAAAAATTGAATTCGGCCCGGACCGGTCCCGAACCGGCTGGGCCGGTTCACCAAATGGAGGGCCCGAGCCCGGAACCGAAACCCACCGGGCCAGGTGGCCCGAACCGGGCACTAACCGGTCCGGGCCCGCACAGTAGCGGGCCGGTCCAGTTCCGGGCCGGTTGGCCCGGCCCGAGTCCATCCCTAGTGAAGACATGTTTGAGACCTAGTCACCTAGGTGTTCAAACAGAGGGTTACAGAGCCAACAGAGGCAATCGAAGACATCAAAAACATATAAAGTTATAAACAGACCATATCACTATTTTTGAAAGTCATGGACAATTTTTGTGGAATACTTTGTTACTTATAATTTTGTGATATACTTTGTTCTTGTTTAAATTTTGTGATAATCTATTGTGCTGTGTGTAAAACTCCACTTCCACAATATTATCACATATAGTCTAGAATAATATTGAAAAGGGACCTCTTTTATTTTGAATCCAAACTTTATTTACGCTATAAGTGCTCTATTTACGCTGAAAACTTATAAATTTGTTTTAAAATGAGAGAGCAGTTAAAGGTTACTATTAAATTCTTTTCAAAACTTTAGGGCTCTCGGCTGAGCACTTGAGTATGTTTGAATTAGGAATAAAAACAAATGAATGCAAGAAACCTTATAAATTTGCTCTAACTGAATTGAAACGAGCAACAAGTAGACAAAAATCATAGTCTCATAGATGTTTATGTACAATAAATTGTGGCAAATGACATACCAAACAATCATTAAGTTCAACTCATCTATGCTTTCACCATGTTAAGTGTTAACAATGTCATTCTTCTTTAGAATAACAGTTACAAATTTGCCCAAAAGAAAGAAGGTACTACTATAAATTAAATACTGATTAAAAATTGTCCAGGTGTGTACTGCAAAGAATTCTAATGCCCCTTTAGTTTTTTGGATGAACTTTCTTTCTTTAGTGCTTGGCTCTACCTAGAGGCTCCTGCAGCAGCGCCCTTGTCCTGGTCTCCTTGTTCTTCCAGAGAAAATTCCTCAATCAATTGACGTTGTCTACGTGTCAAGTTCCTACACCATTATAAATATGTCAAAGTAAAGAAAATAGTAAATTAGATATATAGTTACCTCATACTTAGGTTACCTATTCCTATGGACTTTAGGTTTTAAAAAATCAAATCAATAATAGTACATTAGTGTAGTATCATTCAACAATAGAGGGGACAAAGCACATTGTTATGATTTTAGGCTACAAAAATCACTCAAGGAATGGTAGATTTCTGATTCATGTACAGACATTTCTCAGGATTCTAGTAATGAAATAAAAGAAACACATACGTGGGAATGTTGACAATGAAGTGCACATACTGATCCCCGGCTGAATATGAATTCCTTGCTCTAATCCCTGCACGAACACCGAAAAGGCAGTATGAGCTCTAAACACAATAATTGATTTAGGTCAATGCACACTAATCTTAGATAAATACTCAAGTATTTTGTAGCTATGAAACACTATGTGCAATGAGGGTTAGATTTTGGCCCATGAATAGAGGTGATTCTTTATATGCACCATAAATGTTTAAATTACCTTTCTGTTTCAGGACAACTTTTTGGCCAGGTTGGGTGCCAGGTCGTACCTGCAAGACAGACTCCAGTTTATTCAAATGTTCACACGGGCAAAAAAAACCCAAATACCACCATTGGACTACTTACGAAGTGATTTTGGTAGCCATAACCGACTTAATCTTTGCTAGGAGAACAAGCAAAATGTAGCTTTTGAGTTACTTATTTGACTGAAATAAATATTTCCAAACGTTTTTCCTTGCAGAAAATTCTAGGGATGGGCAGTTGTTTTGAAAGGCGAATTCGAGCCCCGAGGCGTTCGGTGGTAGCCTCGCGAGGCGTAAGCCTCGAAATTAATTGCTTAAATATTAAACAATATCACAGCTAAACAAAATCACAAGTAAAAATTACATAACACTAAAATATCCAGGTCAAAATAACATAAAACTCGAATAACATAATACTACCTCCGTCCCGTTGGAAGGTTCTCATTGCAAAACGGCACGGTCATTTAGGTGATAATTAAATAAAGTACTTCGAGTATATTTTGAGAAATAATTTTAATAGATATACATTATAATGTAGTTAGTATTGATAACTGTGATGCTATAAATATATTATTTTTAAAGTTTAATGATTAATTTTTCACTTAAGATTGTTAATTGTTTCCTAAAATGGAAATGGGAACCTTCTAATGGGACGTCAAAAAAAGGAAAGTGGGAACCTTCTAACGGGACGGAGGGAGTAACAAATAAATTACTAAGCTAAATGATAGTTTTGTATGACAACTCATCAAGATTAAACGGTAGGCTTGATGAATACATTAATAAAGTTAAATGACAAACTAACAAAGATCAGGAAGTGCATTATAGGAGTACTATTTAATACTAACTTGAAATAGTTCAAAACAGAACTTTAAATACGTAAAAAAGTCAAATAAAAAAACTTGAATATAAACACAATAACAAATTAAGAAGTTAGGCGGTGGGAATGTGATGTTCGAAGCAGTGAAGCACCTCAGTACGGAGCTTCGACTGATACAGTAAGCTGAGCAGCACTCCTGGAAGTCGTTTGTTGATATCGGAAGACCAACGATTGCCGATTGGAAGACCAGTGGATATGGCTAAGTTGATATCCGACCTTGGGCTGACTATGCAGGTATAATTTTAGGATGAAAATAAAATCGAGGCCCCAATAATTTAAAAAACAAGCCGAAAATATGCGTAAATCAGAGGCGTACGCCTCGTGTCCGACTTGCGCCCCAGGCCGATTCAACGCCTCAGCAAATCTAAGGCGTAGGCCTTGTTAGCAGAAGATAAGGCTTAAGCTCTCAGGCGAATAACGAGCGCCTTAACGCCTTTGCGCCTCAAGTGCGTAAAGGCTAAACGCCTTTTAAAACCTTGGGTTTACGGTTCAGTTTTTGTTGGTTTTGGTTTATTTGGTTTTGGATATATTGTACCAAACTAAAACCATTTGTGTTTCAGTTTGGTTTTGGTTGAGAGAGCTGGAGAGTTGGCGTCGGGCTGTTGGGTGCGGAAGGAAGAGAAAGCTGCAGTGCTCATCTGATACGCACAGAGCACATGGAAGAGTCCAGCGGAGGGGTGGCTAAAGATAGACACCGATGCTGCAGTAAAGGAAAAAGAAGGAAGAAGCAGGCTTAGTTGGGTGGCGCGCAACTCGTAAGGAGAATTTCTGGCTGGAGGGGTGCTGCCAGGACCGAGTTGGTGTTCCTTGAGGGAAGCAGAGGCGCTAAGTATACATGAAGATCTGAGTTGCGTTAAGGCAAAAGGGTGGGATTGCTTGAAGGTCGAATCAAATGCTTCTCAGGTAGTAAATGCCATTCTTTCAGAAGCCGGTGATTCTCCTTTTGCTTCTCAGGTCGAATCATATATGATGAAGTTTTCTTATGTAAAACAATTAGTGAACCGGGTAGCCCATGTTCCGGTTGGGGTAGCCGTTTCTTTGAGTAGAGTGTGGTTAGATGATGCTCTTTGTATTCAGAATTATCTTGATTATGACTTGATTAATAAAAGTTGGTTTTATTTTCTGCAAAAAAACTTAACAAACAGGCCTCCAGTGTTCAACAAATACTCAAACTAGAACACAAGCACAAAGCTTTGGTCAAGTTTCATACATTTCATCCACAAAACAGGCGAACAAATACTCAAATCATAACCACACGTTAAATTCCCACTGCCACATACCTTGACAACAACATCCCCAGTCAGAGTAGGCACTTGCACAGTTCCTCCCAAAATTGCCTGCAAAAATTTACTGGTTGACTTAAAAGAATCCAGCAGTGGAAGTTCAACAATGCAAGCAATTCAAGACGACTTTATGGAAGCAAGATATTAAATACACCAAACCAAAATGAAGTGTGTGTTTGTGTGTGTGCGCATGTGCACAAAGGCCAACTCACAGAAGTAGGAAAATCACCTGTGTCATATTAAGAACAGCATTGACATGGATATCAGATCCTTCTCTCCGGAACACTGGATCTTCCCTAACCTTAAATGCATCAGCTATAAATTAGTACATTAGATATGCATTAAAACACCACAAATTGAGGGTCTTATAACATTGGTAACGATAATAGAAGCTGAACCTTGATAGTGACATAAAGATCACCCGGTTTATTGCCTTCAGGATCTTCTCCACCACTTCTATACACTTTCAGAATCTGATCATTGTCAACTCCTGTAGAAGAGACAGAGTAATAGCGAAAATCAAAATAAGCATCAGTGTAATATAAACAGCAAAACTGTTGTGGTAGTAATTATATCCATCTAATTCTCTGTATTAGTCACTGTATTTGTGGAGCCATTAGCCTTTTTCAGTTAATAAGAGTTGGTTGACCATGCCAAAGTGCAAATTTTAGTGTTCTAATATATAGCTTATAAGATGAGTTATATTAGGTAGAAATCATTTTGAATTAAATGATTGAGATATAAAGTAAAAAATAAATGCGCCATTCATCTTACATTACAAGTTATTACATCCTTCCCGAACTAAGTCCCCATTTGCTTTTGACTTGCTCATTATGAAATTGAAATTGTATGGTGAGTCGGTGAGGCTTATCTAGAAAGGGGGAGAAAATTATAACTACAAAATTATTTCCTTGATAGGAAATGGGAAGATAATTTTGAAAAGACAGTGAAAGCTAATTTGGGGATGAAAGAATTAAATCCCTTTACTTAACCAATAGAATTGGATGTTGTTATTGTTGATTTAACCAATGGAATAAAGCAAAATGGCTCACTAAACTGTTTGCGCTTCTTTGTGATGAAGCAGTTAGTCCATGCAAGACGCGGTTTTCATCATTGGTCATCCGGAAACAGTCTTTGTGCTTTAGTACATCCGACCCCCCCACCCCAGCCCACCATAGGAGGGAGCCTTGGTGGCACTGGGGTAATGTCCTTATGTTATTTTTATCTTCTAGCTTTTTTATGCTCTTTTATCTTTTTGTCTTTTATCTTTCTTATATTCTTATGTTATTGTTATCTTATATTTATTTATCTTTATCGTATTCATTTTTTCTTTTGGTCTGTCTTCTCTTTTTGACATCGATATCATGGATCCATTTATGTTAGCCGACTCCAAAATCTTTTGGGATCAAGGCTTGGATGTTGTTGTATACATACATACATATATATGTATATAGGGATGAGTTCCAATGAGAAGACATCTTAACGTATAAAATGAGAATTAATCTCAGCCGTCCAAAGTGCCGATCTGATGCACAATAACCGCTATCTGATGCACTTTCGAATAGACCTTATTTGATGCATTTTTCGAAAAGTGTATCAAATAAGGTCTATTCGAAAGTGCATCAGATAGGGGTTATTGTCAGTGTTCTAAAAGGCGTAAGGCGTGTCAAGGCGGCACAACCGAGCCTCAAGCCTTTGAAACCTAGGCGGGCTTAGGCGGGGTTGAGGCGTGAAAAGGCGTTCTGGTTTTTTATCGTTCGAGTTAATATTCCCGGTCTCCTAGAGCTATTTGCTAATATATAAATTTAATATTAAGTAGTATCATACATCAATATCATACTTTTCTAATTTTCAACACCCATATATTTTGTAGACTTTAAAATATGACAAGTATAGATTTATCTATTACACAAATATTAGAATTGGGATAAGTAATTGAAAGATAAAATAATAACAATAAAAGTAATATAATGAAGGTGATGGAACAACTACTAGTGATAATAATATAATACCGGCCACCTCCGTCCCACTAATATTGAAACATGAAGAGGTGATACAATCATTAAGAAAAGTGTGTTTATGTGATTGATATTGAAATAATAAAGTAAGAATAATTAGAAATCACACAAACATGATCAAAGTTGGTATGAGAGTTTGAGGCAATTGTAGTGAAACGAATCGAAAAGGAAAGATGTGACAATCTTAGCATGATGGAGGGAGTAACAAACTAACAACTAATATAAATACCAATAATAATTTTGTAATATAACAATAATAGTGAACTAATGGTAGTTAATTATCAATGTTTATAAATAGGATAATTATATAGAGCTATTCCGTAGCATTCATAAAAAATACGAGTATGAAACATCACTCTTAAACATTTTCACGTTTGTGCGTAGGCAGTTTAGCTAGAGTTGCTTCTTATCATCATGAAATCAGTTTGATTAGTTTTACGCTTTTGTTTTGTATTTCAGCCTTTTCGCATGTTTTTCCCACACCGGAAGTTTACAAACAAACCAGCCTTCTAATTTGCTATAAATATGGGTGATTGCTATTGAATGCAGAGCACTGGTGTGTAGGCAGCTCGGTGTATCACCTAGGATGAACAAAAAAAATGGGCTGGACTTGCAATGGGCCGCCTTTGTTCACGCATTAGTGGGAGGCGGGGCGTTTCTGTCCCGCATTGCGCCTAAACGCGCCTTAGCGGCGCCTTTCCCCGCGTTTTAGAACACTGGTTATTGTATATCAGATCGGCACTTTGGACGCCTGAGATTAATTCTCATTTTACACGTTAAGACTTTTTTATTTGATCCAAATTCTATATATATATGTGTATATATATACTTCGTATATATATATATATATATATATATATATATATATATAGAGAGAGAGAGAGAGAGAGAGAGAGATGATCCTGTCCAGCAGCCCCCTGTCCGAACGCCGTCCGAACATGGCCATTTGGGGCACTTCCAGGTGGAATTTTTTAATGAAATTTTTTGAGCATGTTCCTCATGAAGTCTAGTTTATCCGTACCAAATTTCAGCTCAAAATTCAATCAGGAAGGCAGTCAAATCATTTTTTGAAGTTGACTGCGCCAAAATATACATATACAAATGCAGTCAACTTCAAAAAAATGAGTTGACTGCCTTCCCGATCGAATTTTGAGAGAAATCTGGTATGAATAAACTAGACTTCATGAGGAACATGCTTAAAAAAAATTCATCAAAAATATGTGGACCGGGGGCCCCAAATGGCCATTTTCGGACGGCGTTTGGACCGGGGGCTGCTGGACAGGATCATTTCTATCTATCTACCTATATACTCGGTATATATATATGTGTGTGTGTGTGTGTGAAATATTTCCATCATTTGCAATGGAGCCAAAGATTCGCTATTTTTTAGCATGGGAATATGATAGAATAAAGCAAAATGGCTCACTAAACTGGCTGCGTTTCTTTGTTATAAAGCAGCAGTCAGTTCATACTATTTTTGACGATTTTCACCATGGGTCATAAGGGTAAGGCTGTGTACATCCGACCCCCTTACCCCACCGCAGGTGGGAGCCTTTGCGGCACTAGAGTAATGATAAATATATATATATATATATATATATATATATATATATTTGAAATGCAAGTCCATTTGACATCCAATCAGATGCACTAAAAGTGGCCGCTCCAAAGACTTAAACTCGTGACCTCTCAATCACAAAACAACACCTTACCCGGTGCGCCAAGAATAAAAAAATGAATCGACATATCTTTTTACTTTATATTTCAATCATCTAAAATTAGCATAGTACTAAATGCAAGAATAAAAAAAATTAAACTTATTAGCAAGTAGAATAAGGGTATGCAGAGTACTTTTTAACGTTAAAAATCAATAGTACATCAATTTTATTAATTTATTTATTCTCGGAATGCTTTTAAAATATATTACAAGCATTGTTAAAAAAATTAATTATTAATAACACTATTTGAATAATACTAAAATAATGTTTCTTATAAGTCATTTTTCATATTCAAACATCTAATAACTAACTACTGTTACCATACTAACACAAAATTCATCAAAAAAGCTACATGAAATAGCTAACCACTAAATCAATCAGATAATTGCCAAAAGGGGACACATTAGGAGTGGTATTCCACGAGAAAACACTTCAAGATACATCTTTCACTAACTGTAACTTAGTTACTGGTCAATCTTTGGATACAAATAGTAGCCCAAACATTGGAAATTAGGAATTGGGAAATGCCTGTTAATAGTACTCCCTCTGTCCAACTAAGATTGTCTCATACCAAATTTGGTCAAATTTGGTATAGTTTGTGTGGTTCTAAATCCTTCTGACTTTATCAATTCAATATTAACAACATAAACCCATTTTTCTTAATAACCGCACCACCTCCTCATGTCCCAATGTTAATGGGACGGAGGTAGTAAAAAATAATGGCAAGTATGAACATATGGAGATATTGTATGGAAATTTGCATACCCTCGATCCGATAAAGAGAGTCCTGCTTCTAAGCTATTTTATCCCTAAAAAAGTCCTCTTTGATCACATGAAAACAAATTTTCAAGTAATTTGCCACCAAACCAGAGCGACAAACAAGTTTCAAAAACAAAAACATCCAAGCCTTAGTCCCAAAAGAGTTCCGGGTCGGCTAACATGAATCAAAACATGAAATTGAAGCTAAAAAGATATATATATAAAAAAGATAACAAGTGACTAACAAGTTTAATATGATAAATTTAGCTAACCATAAAAACAGTTTCTAAAATATGAGTATCATTTATGACTTATTAAAGTTGTACTTTGACAAAAAAGTTATTCATTGGTTATAAAGTTCAGCAGTTCTGAACTTCTGAGTGAATAAGGCTGTTAATAGAATAATGAAAAAGCCTAATTGTAAGTCCAAACGCAAGTTACCTGGCATAACATCCAACTTCACAGTTTTAAGCCCTCTCACTACTCGTTCTCCCTTGCAAGTCTTGCAGAAACTCTGGTCACCAGAGTCAAAGGTCAGTATGTGTCAATGCTGCATAAAAGCATGTTGTTCACTCTACATACAACAGGACAACAGCAATTCCAAAACGTAGTATATAACAATACTGTCTAGTTACCAAATAAAGAAAATTATAGGCATGCATTTCCCAATCCCAAGATAATAATAAAAATCATAATGTTGACAGTTCCCCTAGCAATGTATTGTTTTTTACAAACTGTGGGCTATTTTTCATCAGATTCATCACTGATTTCCATTGGTATTATATAATTACAATGTATTAGAATTATATGTTTTTACAAGAGTTTTTTTTACCACCAACATGCATTAAGAAATGTATCTCTTCTGTATCTTCAACTCAAAAGAAGATAAAGAAGAGGATTAGCAAGACAAGTCATTTGACATTTTAGAACAACAGTTAGGCACACATCAACAGAGTCAGGATGGAGACAGCTTTAATTAAATACAACACCTCCTAACGACAGCTAAAAGTGGGTTCCTCTTATATGGCAATTAAGCATATCTTACTGATACGGTCTTTCCAGATCCTTTACATTGAGGGCAGATAGTCTGTAGCGTGAAGAAACCATTTTTCTGAATCACCTACAAAAGGAACAAGATATGGTTACTCTTAGAGACTTAAAACCACTGCAATATAATTTATAGGGATGTAAAAGAGACTCACCATGCCAGCACCTCTGCAGAGTCTACAAGTTTCAGGCCTAGTCCCTGGGGGCACGCCACTTCCACCTATAAATGAAAATTATAAACACGGGCATATCAGAAACTCCCTGATGTTAGAATTACCTTGGTTTATCACAGTTAACTGAAACTTGTTCACTAGTGTCAATCACTTCACAAGCCAATTAAGAGCAGGCCTAAATAATTTTAATCGACTTCACAAACTTATAGGACGATGAGGGGAGCAGAATTCCAGGTTACATTAAAAAGAGAAAATCATATACGGGTTGAATAAGGCTATAAGAGAGACTTGCATACCACAAGCACCACAAGCTAATTCTGTTTGGAATGATAGAGACTTGGTGCAACCCTGAACAGCTTCCATGAATGATAATTCAACAGAAACCTACAAAGAGGATTGTGTGATAAAATATCAGATATTATCAAAAGTATTAGAATTGGTAATTGTTTTAATAAGATACTACCCTTTTACTAATTCAAAAAAAAACAATACCTTGACATCTTCGCCACCCATCCTCTGGTTCATAAAGTTGAATATCTGAAAGCCATCAATCATTACAATGCACAGACAAGGAACGTGAAGTTAGTTTTGATGAGGTTGATCACACACATAAGTAGTAGTAAGACTTGAAAAATGCTTGATGATTATCAAGTTCATCTGATACGGACCGAACCCAAAAGTGCAATTAGTTCAGAAGACCATCCATATCCAAACTGAACCAAAAATGATGCTAAATGCAATCAACTAGAATAAATATCTCACACTGCTTTCCCACAAGCACACAGATTTATTTAACCAGGTACTATTTTATAGAAAGCACCAATGGAGTGCAACTCAGGGGAAAAAGAGGAAATAATGACAAATATATTACTGAAATAAAGGTAATGGACAAAAATATGACTTAGTGACCACCATAGTAACTTTAGTGACCATGATTGTGTTCAACTCTACCACTATAGTGACTATGCATCGTAGTTATAGTAATATTTTTGTCCACAGTTATATTTCAGTAATACTTAAGGAAAATCCCCCAAGAAGAATGCTAGCAGCCTGACACCACAAACCTACTCAGGGGCTGTTTACTATTTTTTTCATTAAGTCCTGAATGGATTAAGACGTCTATCTGCATTAAGCTGTCTGTTTGGATTAAGTGACATTGAGATAACACACTGAAGGAGTATACTTTTTTAGCTGAATGATTAAGTTAAGGATTGTCTGAGCAAATAAGTTATTTTTTTTTTTTGTTAAGTTCCAAGTAAACACACATTTATAACTGAATGGTTAAGTCAATCACTCCATTAAGTCCAATAAGTCCTAAATAAACAGCCCCTCAATGCATTGTCCTAATATTCAATACCTGAAACGTTTACCTTGAAATAAGTTCTCTATTCAATAACATCCTAATACAAACAAAAGTCAAAAAGGAAAACCAAAAACACACAATGCTTAATGAGATAACATATGTTGAATGGCCTGTGTATCCACTTACCATTAGCATGCCAAGATAGATTATCCTAACTTTAAAGAAGGAATTCGGCGAGAATATTTTACAAATAACAGATGGAAACAATTCATTACATCGGGATTTCTAAAGAGCTCCTCAAAACCAGGGAAGCCACCAAAACCAGTCCCCGGACCAGCACCACCATTCGCATTCATGTTGTTGTAAGCATCATGGCCCAGCTGTAACAAAAGCAAGTCAGGATGTGACTACCATACTTCTATGAGAAAACAACTAGAACGCGAAAATGTGGGGATAATTGGTAATTTTCTGAAGTGCGCAATTGGTATTTTTAGTTGTAAAAGAAAGATTGCAGAAGATATGCGAAGTCTGCAAGTCATATAATAATTTCACGGATGGGCAGCTATGCAAAGTTTGACATAAATATAAAAGAAGAGAAAAAGTACCCCCTCCGTCCCTGAAAGAACACCATGTATTCCACGCCCCTAAATAAAATCCTCTTTCCTTATCTAGTAAAAAAATTCTTATCAACGGCACTCCACCCCTCAAGTAATAATAACTATACAATGTCAACCAGTGTTGAATGAGTGTCAAACCGTGCCAAAACAGTGTAAAAGGGGCATTTCAGGAAGTCAAAGAAACAAGTTATAGGTAAATTATTTATATTTCATTTCACTGAAAGTCTGATAGGTAAGTTTTAAAATGGCGGACAGTAGTGTGTGAATACCATAGCTCCTGCTATTAATGAACTGAAAGAAAACATATTCCAAAAGTAGTTTTAGAAATAAAAGGCAATACACTCTGGTATATCCTGCAATTATCCCCTCAACAATTCAACATGCATCAACATCCCCTCAAAGAAAAAAATTGCATGTATCTCCGATTGTTCACACAATTATGATTTTTAAACTGAATTTATTTGTTGCAAAGAACTAGATGAGAATAATGTAGCACTCCATCCCAAATAAAACTAGCCGTGTTTTTAGTACTGGCTTCGGTATTACAAACAAGAACCTTTGGAGTTATTGGGCAAAGGAAGTATTTATTAACACTTCCTTTAAGTATTATTAAAGTGGGCTCCATGGTGCATCTAAATAAAAGATATCTCAATAAACAGAGCTTGGGATCTAGAAACAATGCATAAGATACACTCATACACAAGACCTTATCATATGTTTGTCGTTGTTCATCATCTTTCAGAACCTGTCATGTAAAGGAAAAGTTGTGTTTATAATCCATTCAGCTGACACCAAAATTTGAATTCCATAAGATGAGTCAAAAGTGGAACTGTGGAAGTACCTCATACGCCTTTTGAACTTCCTGAAACTTTGTTGCAGCGTCTGGATCATCTTTATTCACATCTGGATGCAACTGCTTAGCAAGCTGTTGCATAACCCGTCAACAAGAAACTTGTAACTTGATGACTTCAATGCATTTAGTCAAACTCTTGCTGACATCAAACGGAGTATTTCATAGATGAAAAGGTGATCAGAGACATACCCCAAGATAAGCTCTTTTTATCTCAGATGCAGTTGCATTCTTGCCAATGCCAAGTACGTCATAATAATCTTTGGCTGACATGTGTGCTAATCAAGAGAAAATGTTAAGAATAAAATGAGAAAGTCAATAATTAAAGTTTGGAAAGAGAAGAAAAGGAAAAAAAAAGTTTGGAAAGAGATGAAGTCTTTTAAGGCTCCTGAGATCCATGTTGGACAAAGTAATGGGACAAATGAATTTGTTGATTCATTTACATATATCCTAGAGAAAGATGTACACTAACCAAATTTTAGCCTCTCCTCTCTTGAAAACAACACATGTACTAGCTTTCCTCATGAGCATTCCTTTTCATTCGAAAACTACTAATGTTGGAGCAAGAAACTTTTATTTATGAATGATTACAACTAAGGTTCAGGTAAAGTCTACCTAGGAAATATATGAACAGGTATAAGAGTTAACTTCTTCTGCACCCTGTGAACTATGTTTCCAGCCATCAAGCTCACTATTGTTGAAGTTTCAGAAAGGAAATCACATCATCATTGTGGACCAGGACTATAAGAATACAGTATCATAAAATTATAGGAATATTTGTAACCATAAATTTAAACTAGAACTGCATACTAAGCAAATTTCATTTGAGCATTCAAAAACTTCATGCAATTAGACAAACAAGTTAAAGTAAGTATTGAAAAAGAAAGATTCAAGCTGCTTATACAGAAACCTGTGGCATGGATGCATCTAGTAGCGCCAAAATCGGCTCTTGGCAATCCGAGTTTCAGCCTGCCTCTTTCATTAGCTCCTATTTCCAACAAGGAGAGACGGGATGAAAATAAACAACACGCTGCATCACCATATAACTCAAGAACAATTACCTCAGTACAGGCCACTTTCACATACCATTCCAAAATGTCGAATTGGAAAAGACTCTGACTTTATCGTATATTGACGTAGTAAATTGTCTGTACACCCCTATGCGACCCGAATCACGCACCTATAAATCAATCAAGTCAAATTAACGTTCTTAGTCAGTACTTGTATGATTGTATGTATTTGCATAAATAAACAGAATAAACAGAGAGATGTATAAAAGAAGTGTCGCCGACAAGGTGGGACGAGAGGGAATCGCGAGCGAGGCGGCAGGCTAGGCGTGTGGCGTTGGACCGAACCATTGCGGGAACCTTATTGAAAAGATGGAGGGAGCGCTTCAACAGAAACCTCAAACAGTGATAGAGCTGGAAGCAGGAGCAGATACGGCTACTGGAAGAAGGTTCGAGTGAGTTGGAGCGTGAAACGGAAACAGACTTTAGGGACCAGGGAGTAAGAAAGAATTAGGATGTTTTTACACTGTAATTTGTTCGTCTTGTCTGGTCTGAACTGGGGGTGGACATGAAACTCGAACCGAATCGGCACCGAATCGTCTCGTAATGGTATCGAACCGAATACTGGATATTTAAATGGTTTTATAGACTTTTGTCTCGTACCGAAACCGAACCATTTGAAACGGGTACGCGACCGGTCCTAAATTTTGAGAACCGAAAAATACCAAACCGAACCGTTCAAAAATAATGCATTTGAATTTTTAATAATTTTTCTATACAAATATATCTCTTGTATAGACAAACAATTTTATAGTCCACGTATGTATTCATGCGTTCCTAAACTAGCTAAATGTGTGTGTTTATATTATAAATATATTGTTATTTTTTCTTTTTAGATAATTTATGTTATATTTTGATATGTATTGAAAGAATATGAAAATTTTAGAAATCATTAAGGACTATTCGTTTCTAGTAATGTAGTGTACATGACTTTTTGTGGTATCATGTTTGCACAATTTTACAACTTAATAAATATGATTTAAATCTTAGCTCGCAAGGTTCAACTATAAATTAAATTAATTAATATGATTTATATGTAATATTTAATCTAGAGGCTAGAACGAAGAAGAATATTGAAGATTTCTATTATATTGAACAATTTGATGATATTTTTTTTTTATATTTTCACATGAACTTAATAAATTAAAGATGATATTTATTTCGTGCATCATCGTTTTGCTATACTTTTTCTTAGTTGTGTTGCACTATTTGTGTATTTGTGAATTTTAGTACGTAGTACTACATATGTAATTTCTTGTATTTATATCAATATTTCATGTGAGTTAGTTAGTGTGAAGATATCTACCAATTGCAAGATTTGTTCAAATTTTTTAGCATGTGTTTGGCATTGTACCGTACCGTTTTGTACTGTTCCAAAATGGCATGGTACCGAACGGTTCCATCCTTGAAACCGGACTGTACAGGACCGTTAAAAACCTAGCGGATACATTACGGGTTTTACTAGTTTACCGGACCGTTCCGGACCGCGCCCACCCCTAGTCTGAACTAATCTGGTCTGGTTTGTTTTCTTTGTAATTTTATAACTACCCAAGTCTGGTCTGATCTGGTCTGGTCTGGTCTAGTCTGATCTGGTCTGAGAAAAATTACAGTCCAAGTAAAATCATTCTTATAATCACGCTATAGGTTTTATACCCTCCAATCTCCATTCCTAAATCCTAATTACTCTTATAATTTCAAGTATGAATATTACTCTTATAATTTCAAGTATGAATGTTGTTGTAGTACCTAGTTAGCTTTTTGCGTTTTAAACGCGTTTAAAACACGTACCGTTTTTTTTTAACAAAAAACGCATTTAAAATGAAATATAATGTTGGTCCGTTTAAAAAGGGAAAAACTCTCACTTCCCGTATAAAACGTATTTTTCTCGTATTTTACAAATATAAAAACATGAACTAATCCATTGAATGAGTGCATTAAAGCATAGGAGATCAACAATAGCTTAAAAGCAAAAAGGAAAACTTCCTTCTCGTGAATCCATGTTTTTGTATTGTTACAATGCAATTATTAATTACTAAAATTAATTGCATGACAGCTAATACTAGCTTCCTAAAAGACCAAAACTTGAAATACTATTTGACTTCTCATGTTTTTCCAATCAATCATATCAAAATTATGATTTTTCTAAACTTGACATATTATTAGTATAAACTTTTACACATAAACAATAATAAGCGTAGAGTTGCACAACACACTTTCTCATATGTTATTCGTCATCTTGATGAAAATGACGAGTTTAATTGAGTGTTATTTGATGTTTATATAAAGATAATGGTTTTAACTTAGTTTCATTCTATTACTATTATGCCTCATCTTTTTTACTTTATTTTGCAAAATTATGTCTGGGACTTAGTTATTGCTTTTACTATTTTTCATCGGCTTTGCAATTACAAATTATTCTTTTATGTGGTAATGAGATTTGCTAATTGAATATGTGTGTACTTTTATTTCTTTTCACTATATATCTTATTTTGTGAAGTATATACTTTAAATGTTCAAAATCTACCCCATATTTTTATATGTGTGGTTAGACATGTTTTTAGATAGAGGTTGCTTCGTTTCTTATGTGAGTCGTCTTGTGTTTTGATTCCGTTATCACCGGAGGAGTTTACAATTAGATATCACACGGAGAAAGATGATGAACGGTAATTCCGATTACAAAAATGATCGAAAAGTTAAAAACAATTCAGAGGTGTGAGGGTCTGTTTGCAACAGCTTCCGCTTTTAAAAAAAGTGTTTTTTTAATGAAATGAGGAGAAGTGATTAAATAAAAGTTCATAGTGTTTGAGAAAAAAGTGATTTTGAAAAGTAAAAGTGGGTAGTGTTTGGTAAAATAAGTGCTTTTTGTGCAATAGAAAAAGTAAAAGCACTTTTGACGCGGAAGCCGAGAAAAATAAAAGTTGTAGTGTTTGGGAAAATAAGTGTTTTTTTAAAGCAAAAAACTGAGAAGTGCTTTTTTAAAAACGGTTGCAAACCAACCCTGAGTTGTTAATGCGACTTCCAAATCATCTTCATTTTTTTTTATTTTTTGTCTCTTTTTAATTAATTTTTAAATAATATTTCGTTAGTGTCACTTTTTGGATAACAAGGGTGGTTGGAAAGAACTAAAGGAGAGGGTCATGACACCGCGCGCCTTGACAAGATCACCTTAAATTGGGTTACTATTCAACTTCTTTCTCTGACAATTTTTAATGACGTTAGACATCAAATCTCAGTGGGTAATGGAATAAAAAGTTAGAGATTATTTTGATAGAAAATGAAAATCTTGTACTTGTATTTGTATGAAAACGTGACTAAACACATGTGACATGTGCCTTTTTTTTATACTTTTCCCAAAGTTATATGATTGAGATAATTACACACCCAATTAGCAAAATTCTAAGTGCGAAAGTAGCATTTGATCCTTTTGTCTTTTGCTATGGTCGTATACTCGTATCGTAATGTTTATTCTTGATTTTGATCATCTAATCCAACAATAATTATATTCATCATATTCTATCCCTAGAAAAGCTAGGAGCTAAGTTCTCGTCTATTGCTCTTTCCAACTTAGTCCTCTATTTAGACCATGTAGAACGAGGCGGCAACGGACTGGACTGGCGTCAACGGACTGGACCTGTGGCAGAACCTCTTGGAAACTGCTTGTTCCTCTATATATCTAAACTTTTCTGATTCAGTGCTTAGGAATGTGGGTATTATAGATTCCGCGAAGGGATTGTGGGACAAGTTAGATAAGTTGTATACCGATACTTCTTTGCCTGGTAAATTATTTTTGTTTGAAAAGTTTTTTAGATTTAGGCTTGACCTGACTAAAGACATAGATGAGAACCTAGATGCATGTGTTTAACAAACTTATTTAGAACATTAAGCAAGCCGGTCGTTGCCTGGAGTCGCTGCAGCCCATTTGGATTTATATTTTCCTTCAATAAACTACTCATAAACATCATCATCACCCCAGTGCCGTAAAGACTCCCACGTATGATATGGTCGTATGATATGGTGAGGGGGTTGGATGTACACAATCTAACCCTTATACTAAAGCACAAATATACTGTTTCCGGATGATCCATAGTGAAAATCGCGTCAAAAATTGCATGGACTTACTGATGACGCATAATAACGAAGCGCGAACAGTTTAGTGAGTTATTTTGCTTTATTCAATAAACCACTATTCAATGTAGAGAGTACGACATTACTCATTTAGAAGTTTTTCTGATATTATTTGGAAACATTTAATTTTCTTTTAATCACTGCACATAGTGAATAACCATTTACTCAAAAATAAAGTCAATTATACTCTAGACAAAACATCTTAAATTAGACATGACTCAAAAGGAAAAAACTAAACAACTCATATGAGCTCATTCATAATTGTCAGCCTTCAACTAAGAATGTTTTCTTTTGGACTGTTTTCGATTTTAGATCATACCAGACTTAACAGATCAGACTTAAGCAGACCAGACTTTGATGATTATAAAATACATAGTAGCTAGACATTACTAGAACAGACTTAAATGGATCATATCAAACCCGATCGGTAAATGTCAGACTAAAGAAAACATTTTTAACTATGCAAATTCCATATCCGGCTAGTATGAGTAGTTGTTTATTCTTGAACGGTTTTTACGTGGAAATTATATCCACCAAAGATTTGTCAAGAACTTTTTGACATGGTTGATCGAAATGTATCTAGCATCCGTAGAAGTTAGATAAGGATAGGGCGGATTCGTGAAACGGATGTGGTTGAAAAAATAATCATGCCGGTGAGTAGTCCCATGCAAAGAATATTTATGCGAAAAATTTTACTCGCAATTTTTTATCTTAAAAATACATCGTAGTTCATTTTCTTACATTTTGGGGTAGGTCGGGCCTTGGTTGGGTCCCCCCCTAAATTTCTGAGGGCCTCTCACCACCGACCGGACAGTTAACTAAGATGGTGTAAATTGGATTTTAATCACAATCTAGCAGATAGAAAGTGAGTCTCCGGTCCTGATACTTGCAGAAGCTTTATGCATTTTTACATAATAACATCTCATCGAAGTTGCTGGGATTCGAACGTATGTTGGCTCTCCCCTAGATTTGTCCATGGATGGAACATTAAGAGAGTTGATTCATTATATGAAAAAATGAAAAAACTACACCAAAAATATTAAAAAAACATTAAAGTACCATGTGCTTCAACCCACTATACCCCTAAAGTAGATCCTCCCTTGCTCATTTTTTTATCTAAGATTTTTTTTTCCTTTCCTTCCCCCCACTGTCACTAATAAGATCATGCTAGGTAACTATCAAGCACACATATTAGCATAGCAAGGCTCAAGCTCAGAATGCAAATGTTCTTGCTAGGGTAATTTTTTTAAAATAATGCATTAATGATTAATGTGAGTTAAAAGCTAGGTATGATGTCATCTCATATTTGAT